TAATTTTAATCTAAAATTCATGCCACCTAATAAAAACGGTCGTTCGGCATGTCATTTCTTAATTACATTATAGATTTATTAATTATTAATAATCGTATTATAAAAGTTAAAAAAAGACTTGGGGAATATCATTGACATTGACCTAGAAGACCCCACCAATTTTGAACCTAGAATCCAAATGTGGGTGATGCTAAGTTCCTAGATTTTGCACTGCACTTTCCACCTTTGTTCCAAGAAAGTACAAATGAAATTACAAGGAAAATTCTGCCTAAAGCTCCTCTTTCTTTCTCCTTTATACTTTTTCAAGTCAATTTTTTAGGGGAATCACAAACAAACTGAAAATCTCGTGGCAACTTTTAACCTAAACATCAATCATTCAATAAATAAATGTATAATTATCGAACCACCTTAATTAATATAAATCATAAGTTATCATATTTAATTTGATTATAAGAAAATTATTTAAATTTAAAATTTCAAAATTTTAAAATATCAATTTAAACACATTTAACTATTAATATGAAAATAAGTTCTTAAATTTTATTTCAAGATTTATGCGCTAATTATTTTTAAGCATATATGTTAAATTTAATAAATTAAGCATGAATTGTACTAAATTCTAACATATATAATAAGATGCACGAATTAATTTCCCTTTCTTCGAAATAAAAATGAAATTCCTTTAGGTTAATATCAACTATCATCCCTCTACTATAAAAAATAATGTAATTTAAACTTTCTACTATCGATTTACCTTATGTAGTCCTTTTACCATTAATAAACTTCACGTCCTCCCTCTACAATTCAAGACCATATCAATGTCATCCCTCCGTCCAATTTAGGTTAACGACACCGTTTGTTCACCATTTAACTGCAAACGGTCATAACATTTGGGCCTTTTTAAATTTTTTTTTGCCACCCATGCATTGTATAGAAGTATAATTTTACCTTTTACACTGATACAACTATGTATAGACGGAGTCTTTAACATGCTGATACGTTCAAAGATATCATTCCATGCTCCACAGCGTCAACAACCCCTTTTGGTTTTCATGCATATTTAGCAAAGTTGTCAAAAACGTACGTTTTAGTGAGAAAGGGAGGGTGAGAAAAAGCAGCATCAACAGAAATACAAAAATAAAGAGCTAGACCTAACAGGAAGAATACTAGAAAAAATGCCTGGAGGATTTCTCTAGGACAAAGAAT